CTTTGAGAAATTTAGGGTTTTGGTGTGGGTAGGTTTTTATTTCTATCTCTTGTAGTTTTTTGTCTGATTAATGTGTCCGATATATTTTTTTTTTTCTACTTCTATTAGTATTGTTCCATTTTGTAATTTTTAACCTTTTTTGGTATTATGATATTTGATATTGCTTTTTTTTGTATTTTAAACGGAGAAATTTCTGATAATGATTTTTGGCTTATTGCTTCGAAAGTACAATAAACCGTGGAAAGTTTTCACTTTCATTCTCTATTTCTGAGTCGTTATCCACATGTGGTCTCTTGGAAGATTTCTTTTTTCCATTGATTGTTTTTTTATTTTGTTCATCATTCTCGCTCCCTACCCACCACGGAGTCCAGATTGGGACATGTCAGGGGGAAACCCATTCGCCTTGCCATGTCGGGGCTACGTGAATGATATACTCTTTTTTGGGAGGAGTCTTTGAGCACGCATGTTCCTTTGTTTCCGTTTTTCCAAGTATTACGGCTGTGAAGGTTTAGCAAGTGTGTCAGATCCTTTTTTCCCCAAATTGATTGACCCTCAGCCACCGCCTTCCATCACATATTTAGGGTTAAGTGTTAGTTTTTGGTTGGGAAGAGGAGTGTCAGTTATAGGTTTGGGATGGATTATATATGATGGGGCTTGACATGACCAGCCGATTGATCGGATCGGGCCCCTCCGACCGCCCGTCTAGCCCAGGTAAGGGCCAAAGTGGTGTGTTACAGGATTGTGACGCTTTACACCTGGGTTACAACCTGCTCAACCACCAGGATCCGTCCCCAGACATTCGGGTCGTCACCCACGGCCAACAGGTGGCCCCATTGAGGGACTTTACCCTCTGCAGGGGGGGCAGTCGGCGATTCTGATGCCCCACCGACCGGGCGACGATCAGTAGAGAATAGTAATCCGTATAGTAGTAGTGTAGAGAGAGTGAACATATATCAATATTGGATATACAAGAGTGGACAGTGATCTGTATAGTCATCACACTACTTCCTATTTATTCACTTCCTTTATGATCACATGATTTACTTAATAACGGAACTGCCTGTATTACTCACTGGCGATCTAGTTTCAAACCACAGTGTCAGCAACAACACTTACTCTTATACAACACCTCCCCTTTGAAATTACCTCCCCTGGGGTCTATAATTTTTAGCTTTAGTTCAATGGTTAGAAACTCTGTTGGCCTTCTTTTCCTTTTGCCATAAACCCTTGGTAGCACTATTTCTGCTGGAGTAGGAATGTTGAATGTGTCATACAGGATTTCCATCGGTAGCTGGTTAATATGTCACTTGTGCTCCCACTTGTATAATGTATGTCATTCTGCCAATATGTTTCTTAATGTTGCCATCTTTCCAAAATTCCTTCCTGTGCTGATATATCCTGAAAAATACTTTTTCTCCAGGTTTGAAACAAGTACTTGTGTAGTTACTCTATGATGTTCTTGTCTTGCACTCAGGTAGCAGCTTATTGAAGACGGACTTGATTTTTCTACCAAACATCAATTCTGACAATGACATTCCTGACATGGTGTTTGGGTTTGGCATAATATGTATGTATGGTAATAGTTTGCAAAACCTAAGGATGCTTGTAGTTTTGTAATATTAATTGGCATGGGTATATCCTTTATCGCGCTTGCTTTTGCAGGATCCGGTCGTCTACTGGTCTCATCAATGATCTGCCCTAGATATTTGAGTTTGGACATGAATAACACTTTTCTTCACTTATTTTGAAGCCATAATCTTTGATTCTTTCTTTCTTTAAATTGTCAGCATGTTCTTTTCGGGTTTTGATTTTCACCAATATGTTGTCCAAATATGCCCGAGCACAACCCAACCCAGCCAACATGGTATCCATTATTTGTTGGAATATAGCTGGTACAACCTTTACACCAAAAGGAAGATGGTTGAATTTATAATAACTCTCTATGGCTGTTAATAGTTAGTAATTTTGAACAGTCTTCGTCCATAAGTATTTGTAAGAATGTGTCTGAGAGGTCCAACTTTGAGAAAAATTTACCTCCATTCAGTTTTGCAAAAATTTCTTCTGGACTAGTGAACGGGTAATTATGCCATTTCAAAATTTTGTTTAGTCCCATCGAAAAATTAGCACACACTTGTATTCTGTTATTCCATTTCTTAATGTAGACTGCCAGTGCTGCTCATTTGGAATAGTTTATTCTTGATTTAACTCCCAATTTCTCCAGCCTATCCAATTCATTGTTAATTGGATCTACAGCCTCAAAGGGTACACTTCTTTTTGGTTTAAACATAGGCGTTTCAACTGAAACTTGGCTTTTACTTTTGGGCATGTCCCGAGACCTTCAGAAAAAAAAAAAAAACTTCTGAAAAAGTCTTTTTCAGTTTGCTTTTTAGTTTTTCATTTGCTGTATTAGAACTGGCAACAATATTTACGTTATTACAAAACTAGTTAATAGGTACATCCCACAGATCAAACGATGCCATCCAATCTGTAACAGATTAGGTGTGTTTTTCAATACAAACACTACCGTTTTTCTGGTGTTCCCGACAAATGAAATGTTACAGATGAATTTGCCTAAAAAGTTTAATCTTTTCCCTGAGACTCCATAAGCGATTTTCTCAGAAGTTAATAACCCGAGTTTACCCATTTTCTTCCACGTCTGCTCATTAATAATAGTAATATCTAATCCGGTGTCCAATTGCAACTTAATTTTAATTTTCACACCATTTATTTGCATGAAAACATATTTCCTCTTTTGCAAAGTGTAATTAATTTGCCTTTTGGGTTTCTTATTATTACTGCATGTATTAATTCTATTCACATACATTTTATTTCTTCACCATTTTTTGAATCTGCAACATGCGCTCATGTGCCCTAATTTCTCACACTCAAAGCATTTCTTGTTTCTGAAGAAACAGTCCTTTTTAAAATGCTTACCATCACAGCCATGGCAAATATTAAGAACTGAGCAGGTTTTATAGTCTTCCTTTATAGTTTTATCAGGAGTTGGAAAAGGTTTGTAATTTTTCCACTTAGTTGGTTGGGCACTGTGAACCTGTGAATTTCTTTTTCAATCCCCAAGCTTTAAATTCACAATGCGTTGACACTCTTTACCTATTCTCTGGAGAGTTAATTTTGGATCCATTTCCAGTTTAGAAAGTATCCTAGATCTAATCTCTGCATAGTTGTTAGATGTTAAACCCTGAACAAACATCAAGCATTTAAACAGATCAGGAGTTCATTCAATTTAAACTTTTCACATTCCCAATTGATGAGTCTTGCGTATATGACATAATCTTCTTCATCGGATTTCACTAAATTGATACATTGCTAACATATATTAAACAGTGAATGCCTGTCTCCAAATATTTTCGATGGCGTTAGGAAAGTCTCATCAAAAGTTATTTCTCCCTGCTTCTTTGGCAAAATATAGTTTACATATTTTTCATGTTCCGCAGGGGATAATTTTCTCAACAATAATCAAACTTTTTTCTCATCATTCCAATGGGCATAATCTGTCTTGAAGATTCCTTATCTTCTACAGTATGATGGTAAAATTATTCCTTTATCCGGATTGTACAGAAACTCAGTGATTGAATTAGCAACAACATCAAGAGTAAACGAATCTGAAATTTTTATTTCCATCGTTTTAGTGAATAAGTCGAAAAACTTTTGTTGCTGTAATTGTAATTGCAACTGCTGTTCATGATGCTGTTTCTGTTGTTGTATTTGTAGTTTTTGTTGTTGCAGCATTTGAAACATACGGGCTTTTAATTCTTCCATTTTTCACCTGAACTTTTTGCAGATTAATTTTTTCCATCCATGTAAGTTCAAGGAATTCTCACAAAAATGCTTGTGAAACCTTGTCACCACTTTTGTAATTCCTTGCAAGTCCTCATTGCCATTTTTGTGATGTTGGATGGCTTTGCTTGTCACTTTTGCTATGTCAAGCAAAAGCTCATTATAACTTCCAAAAATGCTAGTTATATTCAAAAGTTTGTAGACAACGGTACTAGTGGTAATGCTTTCCAATAATATCCGCACTAGTAATACTGGTTCAAGTAGTAATCGGCGAATAGTATAATGATCAGAAGAGAATCATAATCTGTATAGTAGTAGTAGAGAGAGAGAGAGAGAACGTTTTGCAATAGTGGATAGACAAGACGAGTGATCAGTGATCGTATAGTCATCATGCTACTTCCTATTTATTCACTTCCTTGATGCTCATGTGATCTACTTAATAATGGAATCACCCGTGTTACTCACTGGTAATCTAGTTTAAAACCACAGTGTCAGCAACAACACTTACTCTTATACAACAGATAGTTATACAAGGTAAAAAAGAAAGCAATTCAAATATTTCTTTAAGTCTTATAATATAAATGATATAAAGAACCAACAAAGATTAATTATAAAGGGCAGACATATATTGCCATATAAACTTGTCTTCCACTGTATGTCTGAGTAAGGCTTAATAATGAAATGTGGTTGAAACAGCAATAAAGACAAATAAGACAATAAAGAAAATCACAAAAAAATAAATCAACATTTGAAATAAATCATTATAAAAGACATTCAAAATATATTTACATTATTCAGACACAGTTTGCAAAAATTTATTGGTCATATTTATAGTTTAATTCATGAAAACATGTTAAAAACCATTATTTGGAAGTGAGAAATCAGGTGGGGAACCATTATTAAGGCTTGGATGGGTGAATACTGAGGTTTTTGTAATCTAATAAATATACTGTTTTAAATTGTATAAAAACAGGTTATTTACAAAGAAAATAAAAGATTTTGTTTCCATTCTTAATAACTACAGCAAATAAAGTTTTCAACAAATTATGTGTCTTAATCTCAAATTTCTTTCAAAAGATAGGATTTTAAATAAGTGAGGAGAAAAAATATAAATAATAAGACAAAGTAATGAGTGTGTATACAATTGTGTTCCAAGATTAGAAAGTTATGAAAAAAAAAAAAAAAAGCAAATGTAAACTAACCATACAAAGTACTATAAGCATGACCCAGTATGTGGACAGGTTCATCAGTCTGAGGAAAATCATCAAATTCAGTAGGACCGCTCTCATACGTCATACATATTGAGGCTAAGAAGAAAAAGAAGAAGAAATAATTACTGCATTTTTAAAGAGATTCTAAAATAATGATGACTCTTCATTCACAATTAGAATTTGAAAAAAAACATTTACATCATTGTTCATATGCAACTGAAATCAAATTTAGGTGGTTATAATTCGTGTGGCAAGTATCTCAATTCTTGAAACAAATCTGTTTGAATTAATCTTATAAACAGACATGTATTTGACAAAATCCTACCTAGATTTTTTATGAAAATGAATTTTTTTGCAACACACATTATTTAGTATTGCTGAAATTATCACTAACATTTTTTGTCGAGATTTACAAACTCTACATTTTGTTCAATTTCACAAACCAATTGATGAAATTTCAATAAGCTGATTTGTCTGGAAAAATACTTTGACAAAACCCCTACTTTGTGGTTTAATAATTTCTTTAATTTAATTTTATAGGACTTCATGATCAACAATATTTTTTCAGAAAATTTCATTTTTTCCTTTTTAACAGCAAAGAATAAATTCTTATGATTTCTTACTCTTGAGTATGCAACTGATCATGCATGAATATTTCTTTCTGGAGACAAATTCCAACTTTTTGAACCTTGTGATTTCTTTATAGTTTTCACAAATGCAGGGCAAACTGGAAACTGGATTCTTGTAGATATAAAAACTTAAAGAAAAGATATGCAAAAACAATATTGCATTTTTATTAAAAGAGTATTTGTTATTTTAATCATTAAATTGTTTTTAAATAGTGTTCTGATGCTTCATCCCTGTTTTGATTCAATTATTAGGTTTGTGAACAATTCCATATTATTTGAAAGTTGTTACAGCCATAGGAAATTTACTGAATATCTAAAACATTGAAACAATTTAACCCTGAACAAGAAGGTTTTATCAATGAAATTCCTTTATTAAGAACAATCAAACACTTACGAAGGACATACTGTAAGAAAGATGAGGAGGGAGAGAGTAGCTTAGTATACTAACAGATGATGCATGCAAGTGGGGATGCAGGCAGACATTTCTAGGCAAGAGTAGTGTAAGTATACAGAGGGATGCAGTTATACAATTACAGCCATGTACACGTGAGCAACACCAGGTACCTTGGCTAATTTTATATATAAAAGAATATAGTCTAAAAACATAAATTATAAACAGACAATAACTCAACATTTACTAAGAAGTATTTTCTTTCTTATACATTCACATAGAATTTAACAATAACATGGTGAATAACATTCCATCCATGATTATTTTCACAATGTCTTACTCACAATTATACATGAGAATTTTCTATAAAATTATATATTTATTTATTTCTACTTATTCTTTTTGCTCACATTTTATGAATTAAGAGTGGAAACCCCCCTCCAAGATCATAGCATAAATATCACTATCACAAAGTAGTGACAATAACCACTGTGTAAATGTTTTTTTTAGGCCTATGAAAGATAGAGGGTATATGGAAAAAGTTGTTAGTCCTGAACTAAATGGTCATGACATAATCTCAGTGAACAACAATGCCACTTAACAGTTATCTGTATTCAAATAAAAAGTAGATAGGCCGATGGCATCTGTGAATGTTGTGTATTAGAAAAAGGGATCCATCAACTTGTTTGCAGATATCAGGTGATAGCCACATTCTGGATCTACACAATCTTCTGACTGCAATGACGATCAATATATCTGAACCATCACCATGCAACTGCAACCCAACTACAAAACATGTTCAAGAACTTCAATGGGTTCACAGAGTGTTCGACAAATAATATTTATTATTATCTACATTTTACATTCAGATCATACTTATCTTGACTATCATACTCAGATTTTAGTTGTTATACTACCAAGGCCTTCTTCACATGTCTGTTGTATTCGACAAACCAAACTCTTTATTCAATCCAAAGGGATAAACAGTCCTCCTCCTTTTTTCCATGCTTAAAGGAGATCAGTTAATACTCACTATCCTATTTGGCCTTTTATGCTGATTGTCTGTTTAAAATTAGAGTTTAACTTAGATAATAACTGCTTAAAATATGCTAAACACATGATATAATGAAACTATAACTACATGGAAAAAAAATGTTGAATTTAGCATTATCTTTCTTTTGGACTGGGTGCCAACCAAGGCTACAGCTCAGTCTTGCTTGGATGGATTCATACCAAGGCTATTTATGCTAAAGTGAAAACAATGAACTTTGATGGATGCCAGCATGCCAATTCCACTTTCCATACAGATAACCATTATGCTACGTGCACATCCACAAATGTTTAGTTTTTCCTTTCACTTGTGCTGTTAGGTGTTGTGGGGAGACACAGTCGTCTGTCAGTGGCAAGGCAAATGGCCTGGAGGAGACATCTCATGGACTCTGAGAGTGTCTGCCACTGAGTCGCTCCAGTATCTTCTTGGTCTGCCTCTTGATCTTCAGCCAGAGTAACTAAAGGTGTATGCTCGTAGGGTTGGTTGGTTGATAGACATACAAGTGAGGTGTCTGAACCACTTGATCCTCTGTCATTCGATGTGTTGTATGATTGGTATTGCTTCTACCATATCTCTTATTGCTTCTTGCCTGATCTTGTTCACTGCTTTCCTCAGGCATTTTAACTCACAACTGATCAGTTTCCTCTCAAGGGTTTTTGTTAGGGGCCATGTCTGGCACTGGTATGTCAGTGTTGGTAGGAAAATGGCATTGATGAGATTTGCCTTGGTGCTCATGGAAATGCTAGGATGTTTTAGAAGAGGAGCAAATTGGTAACTGTGTTGGCTTTCTGACATCTGGTTTCGATCTCTCTGTCTAGTTTGCCATTTTCAGTAAATATGCTGCTTAGATATTTGAATTCACTGGTTTGCTTTAGCTGGGTTCCATTTAAGTTAATGTCCAGTTTTTCTGGTCTCTTGCTGACAGTCATGACATCAGTCTTACTGACATTGATCTTCATGTTGTATTTCTCGCAGCTCAAGTTGAGGTGGTCAGTGTGTTCCTGCAGCTGGATCCTGTCATTGTTTATCATTGCCTGGTCATCGGCAACATGAATTCGTTGAGTGCCTCAGGATCTGGATTGGCCTCCATTGTAATCTGGACCATGTAGATCACAAACACTAGAGGAGAGAGATTACAGTCTTGCCTAACCACAGATGTTACTGGAAACCACTCAGACGTTCCACTTGTCGTGCAGACTGCACTCATGCTGTTAGCATACATGGCCTGGATGTTGTCTAGCAGCTGCCCCTTAACATTGTACTGCTCGAGGACCTCCCATAGCTTATCTCTGTTGACTCGATCAAAGGCTTTTTCCCTGATCTACGAATAGAGATCTTGGTTGTGTTTCATTGCCCTCACATACAGTTGTTGGAGTGCAAAGATTACATTGATGCACCTCCTTCCCTTCCTGAATCCAAACTAGGCGTCACTGAGGAGATGTTCTGTTTTTACTCAAGTGCACTGCTCAAGTATCTTTGCATACAATTTCCCTACATGGCTGAGTAGTGACATGCCTCTGTAGGTATTACAGTATTTCTTGCTATCCTTCTTCCATATTGGCACCACTATTGCATATTGCCAGTCTCCGGGTACTTTTCTCTCCTCCAAAGCTTTCTGAAAGATGGTGGTGCACCACTGTATTCCTGTTTCACTACATACAAGAATGGCTTTATTTGTAATACCATCATTTCCTGCTGCCTTGCCCTTGGGACTGGTTTTCACTGCTTTTCTCACTTCACTCTCCAGGATAGTGGGTTCTGAGTGACCTGGATGGCTGGGGGAAACAGAGACTGTATTTCGTGCCCTTGTACAAAATACAGTCTCCATCCACAAATATTTATATAAATAACATAAAACATGTGAACATTGCACTCACTGACAACCCTCAACACCTGCAGAACATTTATGGAGAACAAACAGTGTATGTGAGCACAGTTATGTTATACTACTTTTATCAAGATCTCTTTCTGATTTATAAATATATTTCACTGGACATGTTGGTCAGACGTGAGTGCTAAGAAAGCAAAAGCCAAAATTAAAAAAAATAGTCTTCTGCACAGTGGCTCTGAGCATCATGTCCAGTCCACAAAATAAATCCCTGCAAAAATCTAAAATACAATTAACCAATCACAAACATTGCCAAAAAAAAAAAAAAAAAAAAAAGATGAGCCTGCACCTGTTAAACCACAGATATAAAACTGCACACCTCACCAACAACAGGTATTTCAGCTCAACACTTCCAACCCTTCACATGACTGCTGACCTATCCACACGTCACCAGTGTTGCTTTCAACCCTAAAAGTAGATGGATCAAGCGCCACCAACACTCTGCTTGTTCTACCATGTGAGTTCACTAATTCACATGAGACCTCTGTCAGCCAACTCAACAAATCCATCAACTCCCAGTTTTATCAACAACACCCTTACACCTAATCGTTTCTCTTACTAACAATTTTGTTACCTTTTCACACAATTATGCATATACTCTGAAAATTGATCAATACACACTGTTGAAATTTTAATCCTTGTTCTTTCCTTTACAACAGTTAGGACTTGCAGTCAAAGACAACTGAAATTTTTAGGATGTATAATGAAGAAAAGAGCTTATAGTATTTAACACTCACAGGACATACTGAAGGCAAGCAGGGAGAAGAAAACAGCTAGTAACTTACTTAATGAGTGTGTGCAAATGGACAGAAAAGAACAAATGGGTCAAAAGTTAGTGCAAGAAAATACAGGAAATTGTGGAGAGTCATGACCACCAACACCTTGCAGCGATATCGCACATAAAAAGTTAATGCCCTATTTTGCATAGTATATGGTATTAATTTTTCGTTTTGATAAGATTCTAAAAAATTGACTTGCTATAAATATCATTTCAAGGTAGATAAAAAAAAAAAAACAGTATTTAAACAAAGCAGGGATTATTTCCCTTACTCCACTCTCGGCATAAACATTACGAATTGTCATCACCCAATTCCAAGATTCAATACAGAGTGATGATTAGTAAAGCAACCTGACAATTTTTCAAATTTTACACTAATTCAGTTAAGCAATTATGAAACTAAATATTTTCAACAAATCTATTTCATTTGACGCTTATTGATGACAAATTTTTAGCGATTCATTTTTTTAATTAATTTTTTTTTTTTATTTTATTTTAGAGAAAATCTCTTTGGAACATTTTTTTTTTATTTCGATTTTAATTTTTTTTTCTTTTTGAATTTTATTTAAAACAAGGTTTTTCAAATGTATGTGCTCATACATATCTTTTTCTGAGTAATCATTGAAATGTTTAATTTTTGGATTATTTTTTTGTGTAAGCTGGAGAAAAAATGATGCATTTTAATAATTTTTTATAATAGGCAAAATTTGTTTGGGTGATTGGTTTACAAAATAACGAAAAATTTATTTGCTTAACAATAACATTGTAAAAGAAAGCTGTTTGTTGTTCGGTATATTGGCATTTAGAAAGAAAAAAAAACAGTCGAAAATATAATTTCAATAATTTCATAAAAACAAAAAACTTAAACTAAATCGTAAAATTATCTGTAATATATAACGAATTTAAACTGACTTTCCAAGATTTGGTACATCCACATCAGTACACATTTTTTAAACATTTCTTTTTTTGTTTATGCATAAGTCAGCAGTTTATTTAAAGAATTTAAATAAATAAGTAACGAAACCGTGGGAATGTTACTTTTTTTTTTTTTAAACTTACATTGAATATTGAATTATTAATTTAATGATTAAATTTTATATAATTTGTTAAATTTTAATCCATTGGTCACATGATAAAAAAAAACATGTAGGAACACAAAAAAGTGTTTTTAGAAATTTCATGCGTAGTTTTGAGGTCAAAAACTGCTTGTGAATAATTATTTTAGATTAGGACAGATTAAGTTGAGATTAAATAAAAAATATCTTTGAAAAATAAAATTTACACACAATTATTGTATTTTTGAAAGAAAGATCAAGTTCAGTACACTGTCACACTACACACTTTAAAAATGTTTTGTGTAGTAACGAATAAAAAAAACCTAATGTCCATATTGTTAAAATAATCGTGGCAAAAATAAATAAATAAATAAGTGAAAACGTAGGTTCTTTACTCCCATTTTCGGGGGGTAAATATGTCAATTTGAATTTAGTCACAGAATTTTGCATTAATTTTAAAATATTTCAATCTGTATTTATTTTTCTTTGAAAAGTAGTAAATTATTGAATTTTGGAAAAGCAAACGATTGTAAGCAATTAATCAATGGAAATTGATTCGAACAATAAAACAGTTCTTTAAATAAAATAAATAAAAAATAAAAATACTGTTGTTCTGCTTAATATCAAAACAAAACTGAATCCTATTTATTAAATTTTCAACTAATTTTCAAATTGGCAAATTTTTGCAATGAATACTCAGAAAGATTGAAAGCAAACAATTTTAAAATTTACTTAGAATTTTTAAAAATATACAATCTATAAAAATTGTTGCTTTTTTTGTTGACGTTTACAGTTTACTTCAAAGTTTAAATGACAAAGTTGCCTTAAAATTCGAAAATTAATAAACAAAAAAGTATTTAGAAGAAAAAGAAGCATATTTTGCTTTGATACTTACATGCAAGCTAAATAGATTTTTTAAGTTCCAGTAAAAGACCACAATTCATATAAGTTTCAGTAAAAAAAAAAAAAAAAATGATAAAAATAAAAAATCCACAAAAAGCGCATATCACTGTTTGTTTGTTTTTTCGTTGTTTTTTTTTATTTTTACTGTAAACAATTTTAATAGATTTTTTAAACCTTGGAACTATGCATTTATTTTTAATATTACCTACTAATGAGAAAATATGATTAATATTTTTCGAATCTATTTTTTTTAAAATACAAAGGTGGTACCTTCCTTTTTATTTATTTTTTTAACATACTTCATCCTATCGAATCATAACAACTCCAAAGAAAATATCAACTTTACTGCATTCCCAAATGAATGCTATCTTTTCGATTTATAAATGATAATGTCGTCAGCCAGCTAGACAACCATCATCTTGTTACAACAGAAACAGCAACAAATGGTAAAAATAAGATGAGCTAAAATAATTTTCCCTTAAAATATCTTTAATTTCTGCACTTACCGTCTGCGAGGTCCATTTTTGCATTACCGGAAGTTATGCTAATGCAAACCAATTAAAACGCAGATAACATCACTCTTGTTGAATCGGCCAATCAGTAAAGGCGTTATAAAAATAATACGTCTTGTTTAGGTTTGCCTTATTTACATAGATCTCGTGAGAAAGAAGCCGAATATCAGCCCATCATCTCTTTTTATTCATTATTGTAAAGAATGCTTTGTAGATGGAGTTTATTCTGACAAGCTTTCAATATGCTATTGTGTCTAACAATAGAAAAAATACACTCGTGAAATGTTTACTTTAGTTTCAACTATATTCTTCCATTTTGCTTTTTATTGTGTCTAATCCGCAGCTTTGAAAGTCTTTCCGAAATTTACATGGCTTGTTGACAACGTTTGTATACGTTTTCAAGACGAATTTTTATGTCTTTTAGCAGCAGGCGATGTAAGTTTTATCCTAAAAGTTTCAGGAAATTTACATCGCTTGATACAATATATACTTCCTTTTCAAGACAACATGTCTCTAGTATTTTATTAGTTGTTAATAATAATATTTCCAAACTAACGTAGCGACCTGCTTTTTGACATTTTTTTATTATCTTAGTTGTTGCGTGTCTCGTTTAGCCGAGTCTGTACGGCAGAGTATATGATCGAAACTAAAATGGCGGCGCCCACGAGAAATTGCCGTCAGTGTCTGTGCCGTGAATGATTGAGAAGAAAAGGCGAAACCTCGAGTTTCCCTTCTCATAGTCCTTAATTCCTAACGCTTCTTTCACAATGAATTTGATTTACTCCTTTCACCTAATAAATTTTACCCCCACATTGTCTTCTGTTTCTTTCATTTTCTCTTTCCACAGACACCTGTTGCAGGTAAATTTAAAACTCAATATTTCTCCTTCCAAAAACAATGGTATGAATCTTGCTAGGTTGTCAATCTACTGCAGCCAAGGAAATCCACAACGATGGCCTTCAAGGAACTAAAATGAATCCGTCTGTAACATGATAAAAGATTTTAAAAAACAGCTAGAGTCTAACCCAATATACAATGACTGATTCAATCCATCAAACAATGATAGCCATCTTGAGCAGGAATAGGATCATAGAACAGTTGATGATAGTTTAAGCATAAGGGTTTCATTTAGGGGAACTTTTAGTGGATGTGGTGGCATGGATTACAAAACAAATTGGTTGCCAAATAATGCTCTGCAAACAAAATTTTTGCCTATTCAAAAAAAGAATTATTGATAAAGTGATGGGCATTCTTTTGCCAATTCAGAGAACGACTGAAGTGATGCTGATTATCAGCCAGAGATGGTGACCCCACATCTATGATATGGGGGCCCCAATTCTACTACATCTCAATTTTCATATGGTATAATTTATAAAAAATAAAAATTTTATTGTAATTTTATTATGTACAATAATGGATCATATGCAATATAGGTGAATAGTTCAACAAGAAAAACTGAAAATAAATACAATGTATCTAAATACTAGTTAGATACATGTCATAATAGCTCATTTCATCTTAAATCAACAATGTTTTGCATCAATTTTTAACATCAACCTGACATTTTTCCTGTTAAAAACTGAATAATTAAAATAATGAATTTTATAGATTTTTTGTGATTTAGCATGAGTAAAAACAAATTCATGGATTTGAATGAGAAAAAACATCCTAGAATGATGTCAAAATCTGTTACATTTTTTCATCCTTTAATAGTTCTGCTTAGTCTAATTTGTAATGTATATAAATGTAAGTAGAAAAAAGCAAATGTTGATAAGATAGTAAGGGTCACAAAGCACTAGCCACGACCCCCAATCAGTCTTCACTCCCTCTCACCCAGTCGGGATGTTTATCAGAAATCTATCCCAGTCCCAATCTTCAGCCAAATCCCAATCTTCAGCCAAAATGATAACCACAGTCAAGGGTGAAGAATTGTAATGTTCATGTTTGAGGGAGGGTGCTGATATGGACTGGATGCACAGCCTAATGTTGTCATATTTACTGGTACACAAAGTATGAAAGTTCTTATCACTCCCAATCATTCTCCCTTTATTTCTGGGTGATCATGACTGATGAACTGCTTGAAATTCTTGTGAATGAAACTAACTTTGCTGAAGAATTTATTAGGGACATGGAGTGAATAAATAAGAGTTAAAAAAAATGGAAAAATGTGACAAAGAGATTTAGTACTTTCTTACACTACTTTTTCTTACTGGCATAATCAAAGCACTTAAATTTAATCTGTATTGGTAAACAAACGCAATGTTTAAAACCTTGTTCTTCAGTACAATGATGTCTAGACATAGAGATCTATTGATATGGAAGTTTCTTCATTTCAATGATAATGAAGCTTAGCCTGCAAATGATATTGACTGGTTGTATAAAGTGCATCCTGTAAGCAATAAGTTCAAGTCCATTTATATACCAACTGAGCATCATCTGTTTAGTGACGGTATTCTTAAGTGGCATAAGCATTTATTATCTTGTGTATATCCCCTCCCAATCTAAAGTACAAGATAAAGAGCTATATCTCATGTAAGGCTGAAAATGGTTATATGTATGACTATAGTTTAAACTGTGGACTCAGACAAAGTAACAAAAAAATTTGCAATGATCTGATGCCATCTCTGTACCAGAAAAGCTCTAAAGTGTACAATAACAATTTCTTTAACAGTGTTTTATTTAAGCTGACTCATACATGTGGGTGGTGTAATAGCAGCTCAGAATGAGAAATCAGAGAATGAAGTTTGAATTCCAGTCCGGTTCATTATATTCACTTATGTGCAAATCATCTTGGCAAATCCATCTCCTCCCTCAGCTATGGGTAGGACTTAATCTGGAAAAATCATTGTTATTCTAAAAAATAACGTTGTTAATGTAGTATTCTTCCACAAAAAAGAATTATTTTTACAATCCAAAATGTGTTTCAGCTTAAAATAACCCATTAAAGGTTAATAAGCCATAAAAATAAAAAAAAACAAAAAAAATCATACACATGGAACAGTGAATGAGGTTGAACAAAGAAATGACAAAATCTTTGTAAGATTAGGTAAGTCATCTTGATATTGGTGGAGTTGCAGTTCATCATAAAGTACTATGTTTCTCTTATATCTCAATAAACAGGTCGGGAAAATGTATTCTTAATGTATCAATGATAGAGCATGTAGATGTCAATTTACAATATGTAAAAAAAGCTGAAATTTATTTTGCATTGTAACAATCATATGTCTGATGTGGACTATTTTTGTCAAATAGGAAAATACTATTTGTATACAAGAAGAACAGTAAAGTGGCCCAAGAAACTAGTATACTATTCGATATGTTACATTTTGGTGTTTTAAATGCTCATATTCTGTTCACAGGGGCAGTGAGGAACTGTTGGACTGACATCTGGCATCAATGCAATTATAGAATATGCAAAGTCTTGATGACACATTTTTTGCAGTCTCAGTTCAAGAACTCAATCTCAGTGCCTTTATCCTTGTCCAGAACAAGAAAGTAATCTGCCCCCATCCAGCCCTTTTACTAAATATGTCAAATTGTCCAACTAGTCATCATAACTTTTTCTTCTTCTCCCAGTCTTTGGTCTATTTCATAAGCTAGTCAAAAAAAAAAAGTCATTTTAACAGAACATCTAAATAAAGACCCCTCTCTTCTTGTTTCAGCTGTTTATGCTGCCTGCTTACCCACAATTCTTGATGTCTCCTTCTGTTAGTGAAAAGTATTTAATCTAACATTGATCAGTTAACACTTTTCTTTTTCCTTTCTCTAGGTAACAGAAGAGTCTCTCTCTCTCTCCTTTTTTTTTTTTGCTCTTTTCTTCTTCAACTACAGTTTTGTAATGTAATATAATATCAATGTATCACTGTCCCATTTTTTTTACAATTTAATTTTATCAATTATCTGCCCTTGATAGTGGATTATTTCCCTTCGTCAATAGCTCTTTGGTAGTGGTTGTATCAGTGCATAGATGTATTGTGTTCTCTGCACAAGACTTCACATCATGAAGACATGACTTGTTTTTTCCGTTTCCTTTTCAGGGAACATTCACTCTAGCACTCATCTTAAAGGTGGGAACTTTGTTACCCTTTTCCAATACTTCTATGACACAGTCCTTATAAGCAATTCCCTTAATGTCTCTTGTAAATAAACGTTTTTGATTGTAACTAAATTGTCTTTACCTTATTCTGGTGTACAGATGAGTGGTTGCTTTATTGCATGTGATGACATCTCCATCTAAACAGATTTTCTTCACATGTTAGAACCATTTAAATTACCTTATGCCCAATAACTGGGGATCAACCCAAAATGTATAGTATATATATTTGTATAAACAATGCTGTTAAGTACAATAATGATATGTAAAACTTATATAATGTGCCTGAGCACTTAGAGCATTAGCAGTCTGACCATGAGAGCTGGCTTCAAATTTTGTTATAGTCAATTTGTCAAGGAAGTGTCACTTCACAAGAAATCATTCCTTCATGGCATTATACATCACACTGTCATGTATTGTCCATTTTTACACAATCATCTTAAGTGATTGATTCCAGACAAATTCAAAACTGCAAAGGAAGAATTTTGCTAGATATTGGAATTGGCAGTTATTCATCTTTCTGCCAGTAACTGGGCTTTTCTTTTGCATGTGGCTCCTGTAAGTGGGGTTCACATACTCAAATTAGGTTGCTGGAACTTGTTAGCCTTAGTCTATCTAAAAGAACGAAAACACTGATTTCAAAACTCCTTGCAGACATACCCAATCATGGGAGCAGCATCAGGAGTAAACTCTATGGTGAAATCAGGAACTGGAATCCCAAAAGCAATCTAACACTGAATCAAACTTCACTCGGGTGACTCCTGTGATGACACCAGTGCCAAGTAGAATCAGTTTCTGGCCTTCCCTTGGACAACATTGTTGGAGTGAAGAGGGAAGACATGTTACATGGATTTATGCTGATCTGCCATAAAAAATACTGCCCAGACCTTTGACCAGGAGAGGACTTTTTAGCATCA